TGAAATTTGATTGCTTGTAGAGACTGGAATGTCACAGGAGAGAAAAAAACTCCCTCTCTACCCCAGTAGCTGAACCATAGGGATTGCTAAAGTTAGTTCCATTTTGATTTCATTTATACATGTTGGAATCATTTTTACACACAATAAAAATGACAGGAAGCTTTACTGGTTTAATGTTATTCAAAGCAGGAAATATGACTGGCCAACTGGTATATGACTGCTATACCAGAATCCATTTTTAGGTGCCTGCTTGAGTATAAAGAGTACCTCTTCAAAGCAAAATCTGGTCCCAGAACCCTTCTCAAGTATAGTATCAGATCTAGATTTATTCAGCCATCATCATCAGGGAGGGGAAAAGTCCTGCAATGCCTTCCCCTGAGGAGGCCCTGTCAGTAGCTCTCTCCTAAACAGTCCCTGGATCTAACCAGATCTCTTCCACAATGACAGAAAATGCTAGTCTGCCACTCTCCTTCTTACCTATCATCCACAAACTGAATCTCTAGCATCAGGTCAGCCTCTATCATGAGTAGGTAATTTAGTATCTTCAAGTACAGTACAGCAGATGACTGAATTCTAGGCAGTTCACAAATCTTTTCATAGCTAACATGAAAGTTGTATGCTCCCTCAAACAAGTATCTGAGGGAGATACTTATAAAACTAGTTTCACAAGTTTTTATGTATTATCAAGAGGAAGCAAAAATTCCAGATCTCCCCAATCACAATGCAGCTATCCTAGCACATGTTAAATACATAAAGGTGGCAAGACCTTTCCTTGAGCCTACATACTATCTTGGCCTTCTAGCAATTTTAAGCATAAACTTCTTCCAAAAAACACACTACCAGTCTCCTGAATTCAGTCTGGGTCTCTGTCCATTCCCATATATATTCCTCCTTCTCAGCCTTCCTCAACTCTTGCTCTGGTTCAAATCCTTTACTATTTGTATCAAACTCTGCAGATCCAGTAGCAGCATATCCTGATGCTTTATCCTAGTAATTTACCTCTAAGATCTAATTCTATATTGAATTTCCAGTCAGGCCCATCTTACTACTTTACCTGTGGTTATACCCATTATCTTCTCTCAGATCCCTCAGTAAGTCATAAAACAAAACATTCCATTAAGAATAAGACCTTACAGCGATTCAAGTAATTCACCTCAACCACCACAGGTTTTCTGACCACTGTTCCTGAAGTATTTAAAGCACGCTCAAGTCCATCCCCCACTTAAACCTCTCATCTGTCTTCAAATCTTTGTGGGACGTTACCCCTTCTTTTCCTTTATTATTGTATTTATTATTATATTATTTATTATTGTATTTTATTTTTATTACTGTACAAAAGACAAAGAAGACACAGGTGTTGTTTATGCATCTTTAAATGACTATTTTTCAAACTGTCCTTACAAAGAGCTTTTTCATACATGAATGCTTTGTCTGCCCCCAGTTATTTTATAAAAAGTATGCATTTAATGACACCATTATCATGTCACTTAAAGTGCCTTATGTAAAATTCCTGGATTAGCACATTGGCCTTTCATCTCAGGGAACCCAAATGCAAAACTGAAAGATTACTTTCATGCTCTTAGCCTTGCAGACAGACATTACTAATTCTCAGTACAATTTGGCTTAAGTGACCATTTTTCCTTGGGGGAGGGACAAGTGTTGATTAAAGCAGCGTGTGATTTCAGGCCAGAAAAATAGATGGAATAAAGATGCAAGAGAAATCTTGAAAGTTGCATGCTTATACCAGTCCTAGATTTGAGCGATCTAAACCACATCCTCATTTTCTAATCAATATTTCTTCCATTTAAAAGACACTATGCAATCTCTTCGAGAATCACTGGAAATTATTCAGCTTCAATACATACCACCTATGTACACAGGGCTTTTTAACATTGTGTGACCTAGTATGCTATGAAGTTCCCAGCTGCTGTGGAAAGAACTACAACTCTCACTGTTCATACACCTTGCATCCAACATCGGGTCCGTAAGTACTCTTCTACTTATCACATAACAAGTCTAGTAGACTTGTGGGTGTTTATCTTGAATAAATGATTGGCCTTTAACTGACCGTAAAACAATGTTTGAATGCATTATGACCTTTTAAATCTAATTTCTTAAAAACATTTTTAGAGGAGTACAAAGTTATTCATACAAAAGTTAAAGAAGATATTTACTCTGACTGTGTTGGATTAATTATATCTCTAGTCTATATACACACTATAAATCTGGTTTTAATAGTGTTCAATATGCGTAACTCCCCATGCTTATTAAGCAAGTAATTTTTCTGCCTGTGCTAAAAGACCCCTTGGAACCTAAACGAGGGCCTGTAGCTTTAGTTAAAAATATATTACTTAAGAATAAAACACGTCAACTGTGATAAATACTTCATATCAGATTTTAAAACAGAAAGAAGTATGAAATAACTTTGGACAAAGCATATTAGATATTTGGAATGAAAATGAGAAAAAACCGTGTATTCAAGAAACTGGCAGAACAGCCAGATTAGCACATTGATAAGGCAAAATTTTACCTTTTGTGAGGGAGAAAAAAAAGCCAACAGAAAAAAAAAAGACTGGCAATTTTTGCATTACCATAATTAAACTAGACTTCTTATACAATTACCCATTCCATGAATTTAAGAAATAATCATTGGGGATGATCGATAGCCTAAAATAATACTTTATGAGCTACTGCTTAAGTTTCTCTTGACTATGCAGTGCTAACGTAACATTTTTACATTTCCAGGTCTTTCTTGCATTACAAAAAATAGAAGTTGCACTACTTTAAGTCAAAGGTGATGTCTAAGGTTCTAATGTCCGTGAGAAACATAAATAAATTTACACATGCACACACATGCACAAATGTTACCCCTTACAAGCAAGGCTCTTTCTTGCCTGCCTTCCTGCCTTCCCTCCCTGCAGTATTCCAGTTCCAGAAATCAGGGTATTGCTGCAGAAATATAAAAGCACCTTCTGAATAGAGAGAAGAGATACTTTCAGGAGGAATTCTACATGCATAGATACAAACATCACAAGCATAAACAGGACTATTAAATTTGGCATACAGTGAGCCCCCAGTGAGGACACACGCCTTTCAGAATTTTTGCAACTGTGTGTAACCCAATACCTACCTACCTAAGGCAACATCCTGTGCTGCTTCCTCCTCCTACTTCCTTTATTTTTATTTTGGGCTTACAAAGTGCACAGATAAAGAGAAGTAAAGCCAGTACCTGTTGATAGCTAATTTGATAGTAGTGTGAAAACATTTGTGTTTTAAAATAGGAGAGAATGCACAGAAAACGATCTTACTCACCATGCATTTGTCAAAAGAGAAAAAACCTTGTTTCCAAGAATGATGCTCACCTCCCAATAGCAAAAAAAGAAAAGCAATCCATTAAAATATACAGTACAGTTAAAACTGAGTTTCCTAGCCTTCTGAATGCTAGATTGAGCAAAGTTACACATCTCTCCCCTCCCACATAGCACCAAGTACCGCTGCGTGCATACCAGAGGAGTCCAACACAACTACAAGCTGCAAGAACAAAGACCTTCATCTCCTAACATACAAATAACCAAAGAACAGCCAAAAATAAAGTAATTATGACAACTGAAGATTTGAGACCGTGTGGGGTGTTGGGGGGAGGGAGACAGGAAGGGGAGGGAACCACAGGATTGAGAGGATGACAGCTGAGAAGTTAAATCTAAACCACAATTTTTAAAAGAGTATTTTTGAGGAGTGTAACAGAGGTATACCAAATTGTTAGGATAAAACTGTGTAAGAGCACATCTTGCACACATCTAACCCTGAAAGGAAAGTTACTATACCAGAAGAGTAGTATATGACCATGTTATTAAGACAGTAGTATAATCTAATCTGTAGCAATCAATCACACTAAAATTGTATGTTCACAGGTTTCCCCTCCAACTCAAACAATGAAGTAATCTGAAAGAATACCATATATCCCAAATCAATAAGAGCTATGTGTTCATATACTACTTTAGACCCACTGGACTTACGCCATAAGAAGTATATGCACTGTCCTGTGTAAATTGTTCATGAGAACCATTTAATACTGTACCAATATTTCAGTGAAATTTCATTTTTCACACTGCTGGTATATTAAAAGCCTCTGAGTAACAGAAGAGTCTATTAACAGTGATTCAGGCACATTATGCAGCAATGAATTTTTGAAAAATATCTACACATTTACAAAATAAATCGAACTAATGAATTACTTGCAGTTTGTTTGAACTAACTTCTTAGAAGTTAATATATCTGGCTTAGCAGAGAGTCATATTTCCATACTTCACTTCTGTGTGTATTTTTAACTTCATACATACCCCTAATGCATAGAGTTACACTAGGCAATCCTAGTGCACATAGGCGTAATGATTTTGCATTGCTTCCACTTTTTAGAGAGAGAACGAAAAAAGGCAAGCTACAGTGGCTACAGAGAAACACTGTACAGTGTTACCCTGATTCCCAAAATACATGATGGACCATCCACTATTAAGGTGTTAGCCAGAGAGGGTGAGGAAAAAGTATGTTGTGTTTAAGGCTAATCCAAAGCCTGTGGAAGCAGACTCCAATAATCCTCCTTTAGGAACAGTACCATAGCCTTCTACAGAGGCATATTTTAATATTCTGAAATGTAATTATGACACTTTATATTTAAAAACTACATAAATCTGTAAGCAAAATCAATTTCTTGCACAAGGTACAGAATAACACTAACAGATAAAAAAGCACAGTAACAGTAACAAATTTGCAATTACATACACATATATATTTATGTATATTATGTAAACATACATTTCACATAATGAAATAAAAATCTACATTTATCAGAAAAGAAAAATTTTTATTACACTAGAGAAATAAAAAAAATTAAGTAAAAAATTAAATATAGCCCTGTTTATTTTAAACATTATTTACACTAAGCAAATGTATTACCAACCCATACTAAAGTCAGAATTACAAGACTGATTTAAATGCCGTACCCATTTCTGTAGAGTTATTGGCATAACTGCAGGCAATGTTACTCTTCTTGAAGACAAACTCATGTCTGCTTTTCAAAAAACTCGCCAACCTTCATTCAGGTGATAACATGAAGCAGAACAAAGTAGTTAGCAATATTCTTTGAAGCCTAACTTCTCATAACCCAAATATTGGAGAGTCAGTGCAAAGAAAAGAGTAAGGATCTAGTAAATGTCACTCTGTTTATGTGAATCCATTCCTACTCAAAGCCAATTACGGAAGACACCGGGGTAGGACTAACTAGAAAACAACCAACCAAAAAGCTTGAAAACTCGTCTTCTGTCCTTGGAAAGACCCACACTGATATCTCTGGCTATAAAAATAAGCAGAACATGCATTTCTATCACTCAGAACCCTGCCTTCACCGTCAAAACAAAAACAAAAACCAAATCGTTAAAGACACCGAGTGGTTATAGTCTTGTTGGGGTTTTTTTCCTTGCTTTTTCCAGCAAACAAAATATTCTTCAGTGCTTCTGATCTTAGGGTTTCAGGAAAGTAACTGAACATAAGAATAGATGCACTGAACCCATAGAGTTTAATTCTGTGATTCTTAACTACTTTTATTCAAAGCAGCAGCAAAACTCCCCTTTTACTAAAGGTAATGCAATTTCTACCTTTGCAATGCAACAAAGGCCTGACAATGTGGCACATATAATGTTACAAGTGAGCAAAATTTAAGACTGTTTATGAACTCAAATTGTTCATCACCCCCACTCACATATTTACTTTATGTATCAAATATCTGCATAACAAGTCTGGTTTCATTACTGTGATTCCACTAAGAAAGCCAGGGTTTTTTCGTTCCTTCTTTGTCAAAAAGGGTGAGATTTTACATTGCTTATATAATAAGGCAAGCTATAATCTTTTTTTAAGGTCTCGTAACGTGCTTAATAGCAGAGAAACAGTTTTCTGGTTTTATGCAGCATGAGTAAGCAATAATCCTGCTGTAAACCAACTTATTAAACAGATGTTAGAACTGTGATATTGGCTATTTCTTTTATAACTCTTGAACAAGCAGTTTGCATCAGAAACATTGCTCACCATAGGTGAAGACTGCAGACATTCTGCAAAAATTATTTGTATTAAGTATTCGTAACATCTCAAACAATAATGTATCAGATATGCAGACTACTGTACTTTCACAGAAAGTTACTGCAAGTGTATTATTTAGCACACATCTGATGTATATGCCCTAGAAGCATTCAGAATTGACTTGACAAATGTTATAACAATCCATGCTAAAATTCACTAGGTCATATTGATAGTGTTTTTTCCCCTCAGTAATTGGAGATGAGCACATTCTGTAGTAATCCCAAAATGTCTAGAAAAAGATCTTGTCTGCAAGACATAAGAAACTATATACTGGCAAGTTAAACAATGTGATTTCATGTAATTTTCTGTTTTGAGAGTTTTGTAAGTGGCAAAAACTACATAACAAGTGACTGGCACCAGTAAGATACTTCAGAATCCATGGATTCAAAGCATCTATGTTCATGCTAAATTACTTTCCTGGAATCCTAAAATTAGTAGGGCTTTGGTAAATTCTGTTGATGAACAAGAAGAACAAACACTGTCAATACAAAAAGAATACAGCTCCCTCCCAAAAACTAAAACCTGCAACGCACTGGCATTTTACCTGCAGCTCTCAAATAGTAATAAAATACTGCCAAGGAATAGGAAGTAAAGACAAATATTTTCCTAAACTTTCAAAACCTGTTGTCCTTGATTGAGACATACAGGGTGGAAAAAACCTGATAAGAAACTGATGCCAAGTCACAAAGAGAATTTGTTTGGAGACAGACATTTGATCCTTGTTCAGTTAGCTTTAAAACAAGAGCTTTTAATAAAGCCATAAAACCAGTTAAAATACAGCAGATATTAGCCATTTCCTTGGCTCAGTAGTAAAGGTTCAGTTTTAACTTTGACTCATTTTAGTTGAGTCTATAGCAGCAATAGATGCATAGCAACTAATCTTCTAGGTTTAAGGTATTATGTTTATTTACTTTTATTTTTCTCTCTTAAGCTCCAGTCCAAAATCCTTATGAATGTTTTGAGAAATCAGAAGAATAAAAAACTGTTCCAGAGATCAAGTTGAAAGTGTTAATTCTGTAATATTTGGAATGAACATCCTTTTCTACTAGTGATAGCTATGATAAATGTCAAGTGTTTGCAATTAGGTTTTTACCTTTCAGGCACAAAGTATTTATTTCCTATGGGAGCATGTTCTCAAAATTCTATAATATAGCTTCAAAATTTTGCTGTAAGATTCAGAAAATAACTTGTGGTACCAGAGCCTGGTCCTGTAGGCATTTTACTCCCAGGAATATTAGACATGCATATGTTTGCAGCACCAGAACAAAAAACTCCCTCTACAATCTTTTTTCCTTGGATCTTACAGAAAAATGTTTGGGAAACAGTAACTGTAAATCTTGGTGCATTGCATTAGTGGCTTTATTGGGAAAGAAACAAAAATAACCAAAGCCATTTTTCCTTACCCCTGGGTATTGAAGGTCCTTGGCTCTTGAAAAGCACGTGCAGCTTTTTGTTCTATGAATAATACTGACCTATTTGTCTGCAAGGTGAAGCAAAGGATTATTTTCCTCAGTGAGACTATCTGTATTTTATCTTCTCCAGTCAGATATACAGACCAGACCTATTTAGAAAGTAAGCAAACACCTAAGTGTTGTGTTTGACTTTGTAATAAAAATCCAATATTCAGATCTGATTTGATTTTAAACAAAAATACTACAGTAATTCACTTATAGTAATGAAAGTACACATCAGTTGCACCCAAGAGTACTAAAAATGACATTGAGGAATACCTTAACCTCGTAAATTTCACAAACACCAATTTAATAAAATAAAATAAAATAAAATAAAAAAATTAAAATAAAATAATGACATCTCAACTTCGAAGTGCAAGCCTTGCAGAATCACTTCACCATCTGAAAGCCAAGAGGAGTTCTGTTGATAAATGTGAGATACAGAAAGGCTTTGAAAGCCAATTATGCCTTCAGGGAAACATACATAATCACTTTTTTTTCTACAGGTAAAAAGATTTGACTTGTCTGTGGCAGGTTTGCAAAGAATTTTGCCGGTGGACAGGAAGGAAATCAGATCCAGTTCACTTGCTTGAAAGCTCTGTAAAATGAATATGTTCATGCAGCTTTTCACTCCTATTTTTGTCACTAAGCTACCAGATACAGTTCTGAAAACACTGTGCAGATACTTTTTAGATACTTCAAAATATAAACCACTTCTACGTCTTGCCGCTAAAGAAAGCGTGACTAAATTGAGTGGGCAAGAATTGAAAAGCTCTTAGTAAGAGTCAGTAGCTCCAAGTAAGGATTTTATAACAACATATGGAATAGAGATATCCTGCTAGTAGAGGAAGGTCAGCAATATACTTAAGGCACGGGATATGGAGTCACAACAGCTGATCTATTCCTGGCTCTGCCAGACATAACGCAGGAATGTGGGCATGTATAGGTAACAAGAGCAAATCAGACTCAGCTTTTGCTTCTGTAGATGAAAAAAAATTCCAGAGAATATAAATTCATTAAGGTTTATAAAAAAACTTTGATGCTATTTTTTGTACTTGCCTTTTTTTTAAGCTAAGGCAGAAGATTATTACACAAGACCAACATAAAGTCAGGTAAGTTATTTGTGGTACTATCAGCACTTCCTTCAGACAGTGCTCCTGTCTGCTTGGCACAGATGGTCACTTTGTCTCTTTACTAGAAGAAGAGTCAGTTAATACCATCAACGTGACTGTGGAAACACATACAGGGTATTTTTTGCATAGGTACATTTGCATACGTTTGGCAAATAACTATTTTCTTTAAAACCACCCCACAAAAGAGAGGTTTCAAAGTGATTGAGTGAGTTGTTGTCTTTCTACTCCTAGAGTCCCTTATACAAAGAAATGTAGCAAGGTCGTATTCCTCAAACAGAACATACAGTACACCCTCTTAGAGGGTTGATAATGATTGATTCCTATGCAGAAACAGTTGTGCTAAAACAGACTGTAAAGCAACATACCTAGGAACTTCACAATGAAGTTTGAGCCTTCGTGATCTCTCTTCTTCTGTCTCTTCATATAATTATCCACCTATTAAATGCTTCTATTTTAAAAGACTAATGCACAACAAAAAAAGAACCAGTACAATTCATAGTTTCAGCTCTTCCTCTTCTAGCCTTTCCATGGATGAGCCAGGCAATACAAACAACACACCATGCCGGAGCAGTTTAAGGGCAAAGCAAGATAACCTTAGATCCCAAACCCTGCACTGAAAAGCTATCTCCAAATATGTCACTTCACAGTTCTCAGCAGATCACTGTCCTTTTGCCGGCCAAGAAACATGTACCACATGAACTCTGAACTCCTTTTTAATGCTATCCTTGAATTACTATCCCATGTGACAGCTTCCTTCTTCCCCCTGGTCATAGCTATGATATAACTGGGTCAAACTGACCCTTAAACATACTTAAAACAAGATTCTTGGATAAAAATTCTCAGCAACTGTACTTTCTGACAGTCAAGATTACAGGCTGGTTGTATTAGAAAACAATTGTTATTAAGTGTTAGTTTTCCACAGGAAAATGTGTTTAGTAATACACATAGAACCAAAGCAAAGAGAAACACAGGTTGCAGGAAGAAAGTGAGTGGACAAAGACACATAAGGTAGCTTCTTGGTGCCACGGCTGAATCACTGGCTTCAGTTTTACTGTCTCCATACATTTGTCTTCTGAAGGAGCTAGTTTCATTTGAGAAAGAGAAGCCTTTCTCCTGTTAATATTTCTGTGTAACAGAAATCAACCAACAACAGCAGTCAGTCAAGCAAGTACAAGAGCTCCACAAACCATGTATTCTCCCCACTGTATGTTGAGACTGCTTGGACTGAATCGGTAACATGTTTTATCTCAGAGTCACAACAGTATATATTCTCTTATATCTTATTTAGAGGAGTCTATACGAATAATTTCCCAGGTCATGATTTTTGTACTTAGGTAAGCACAATCCCTA